TGTATGTATGTATGTATGTATGTATGTATGTATGTATGTATGTATGTATGTATGTATTTATGTACTTATATATGTATTTCCATATTAAATACGCTTACCAGAGATGTTGCCAATAAACGTGCTATTTTGTTTCTTCATTTCTTAGTTGTTTTGACCACTGTTAGTTGTTTTCACCACCGACACTGTCTAGTGGGCAGTCTTGACCAGTCGATGGTGATGTTTTTTCGTCTTCCAAATTAGTTAACGGCTCAGTGGTCCTGCAGCAGAAGTAGTTTGAGGCATGGCTTCATTCTGTTGGAGATTCCCAGATTCCGTTGCCATTCCCGAACTACGTTGAGATAACTTGTGTAAGAGACAGTCCTCATGCGCGAGTTTATTCCCAGAACCATCACGCTTTCGTACTTTACATCCTTGCTTCGTATCTCTCTCTCATTATTACCCTTAAACCGCCATCCTCCGTCATCATCTTTTTGCCCTCATGTCCGTTACGCCTTTCTGAGGTTTATTCTTACGTTCTTTCAGATTTCGCTCTGTTTTGCCCTCACATTCACCACACTTCCCTCTGGCCCGTCCTTACAATCCTCACACTGCCCTTGTCTTCACATCCATCACATTTTGCTCAAACTTCTCTTTTCATCCATCACCACCCTGTTTGTCTTTACATCCTGTTATGCTTAGCTTTATTGGGCATTCGTATGCCCGTATAACATGCATTAACGTATTTTTATTAAAAATACATGATCTGAATGATTGTGGTAGGTAGACAAGCAACAAAACAGTTTCATATTTCGATCATCTTTTACCTGCATGACAGCATTTTACCACCCGTATCCATCCGCTGGCAAGGCTTTCGATGGCTATCTATTTCGACGATTGCTTACAAGCAACCTGATGGTGCACCGATCCCCTGTTATACGGCAGTATGTGTCCCAGTGCATTTCATCGCGGGTTTTCAACTTGGGAATCAGACAAGCTAGAAAGCTGAAATTTTAGGCCAATGTCCCCTGCCCACATACGACCCCCCAAATTTAAATTCAGCCTTTACGTACACCTAGATCTCGCGGACGGCCCACATGAAACTTCTGGTACGAAAATTATTAATATATACGCTTTTCTCTTTGCTTTTTCGTATTTTGTGTTCAGCTTATATTGCGTTCTGTAAAAACTCATGATCCATTATTCCCCACTGCAAGTCAAGCCAATCGCTGCTTTGACTTTATGCGCTACTGCATCACCTTATTTTGAAGTTTTATTGTTGTTTTTGAGCCAAGCTAGTCCGAAATTATGGTTGAGAACCTCTCCCTTTTGCAAGGAAATATTAGTTTTAGGCTTTTTATACTCTTATTTTCCTCGTCCTTCACTTTCCATGACTCCCTTATATTCTTTGCGACTGAGCCGGGACGAAGGGTGTGTGATTTGTTGCAAATGAGATCTGAAAACGTAAATTTCCATAATTGCCTTCCATCATCAGTACTACCACTGCTTTTTACAGTTAGCCTTAGATTCTGTGAAAATGCCGGCGTTGTTTTTCATGTCAAGAACAAAGTTGCTACTAATATCACCAGGGTATTCGACCGGTTGTGAATATCCCATTCCAGTGATATTACTGAGATGCTTCGGCGCACCGGGTATAGCTGTACCAGGCCATACGATCCTCTGCTCCACCGTTTTAGCAACAGATACATTTATACCCTCAAAATATGTTGTTTAGCAGTTCTTTATAAAATATTAGTTTTTTTTTTTGCTTGCAAAAATTTGAACTATTAAAGACCAAAGATCAGTGCTTACTTTGATGAACGGTGAAAAATTTGCTATTAAATGTGATTAAGTGGGAGTAACGAAAATGCTCATATGTGTCTTCGCTTTGAACACGATGATCCCTTTCGCGGAACTGCTTTGCCCTTTGACAAGTTTTGGATCACACTTATAGTTTCACGGTCTGGGGGACGGGAAGGGAGGGGAGGGGCGGGGGGAGGTGAAATGTAAAATATGTGCTAAAAATTCTTCCTTGTCACAGCCAGGCTTGATCATCAACTTTAAAAGCTTCTTAAAAAAAAGATGGTTTTGGCCTCTTTTTTTTTTTGTTTGTTCTGGTAATTGTGCATGAAGCTACCAGTGTTATTCTCTGTTCCAGACAAGCGCTGGATCAAATGCCCAAATTCTTTCCAGTAGTCAACACCAGCCGTATTATCTCCGACCCGGTTATCGCTTCAAAACAAATTTGGTTTGTTCACTTTTTTCATCAAAACCGTCATTTTTTTCTTTCGAATTCGATAACATGTTTCCACCGCGTATTTTGTTTTAATCGGCAACGAAGCATTTGTATGTTTTGCAGCAAGTACAACAGCAAAATATATTGGATTTATCGGATGGCCCCGGAAGACGGTTGCGCAAAAATGTGACCAATGTTCGTCGACATATCGATTACATCTCAAATGTTCTGAATCATTTTGAGGTTTGTTCACTTTTTTTTCGAAGCACCAAAAATTTGTTCTGAAGTAGTCAATATTGTTGAGATTTTGTAACACAACTTTGTCATTGCCATGCCATTGTCTTAGACCATTCTTATGTGACTCTAAGCCACAAATTACGCATACCGGCAGTCGTCTGTAAATTGATCTTTTTTCGTATTTTTGTTTATAGTCCACTGAAACTTCATTTTACTAGTTACCGCTAAAATTTCACTTTCCTCGTGAATTCGGCAGCGTTTGCATGCTCGTTGTATAGCAGCAGTACATACACTTTTCGTACAACCGCGAATTAATTCTCAGTGCATTTACTATACCATTCCATTAGGGTCTTTTACAAACTTATCTCACTTATGGCCATATTGCTTCTTTACGTCTTACGTCTTCTTTACGTGGTGTCGAAGAGAAAAGCACGTTCCTTGTGGCTTAACAGAGTTAAAAAGTACTCAGTATGCAGTTCTGGTTTGGAGGTTATGGCGCTTGTTCACTTCCTGACCAAGATAATATAGCTGTTAATTTCCAAGTAAACACAATGGATAAGCGGGTACAGGGAGAGGGGGAGGGCGATTGGCCTTTCGCTCCCCTCCCCTCCTCCCTCAGTGGCACAGGTAGCAGTGATAAAAATTGAAGAAAACTCTTTTCCGGATCCTTGGTGGCCCCCCACCCCCACCCCCTCAGGAGACCGTCCTGAAACCGCCTATGACACCAGTTTGGTGTGAGCATATTGGC